CGGGCAGCAGAAGCCCACACGCGTCGTCACCAAGCCCCTCGAGGTCTCGCACACCAGACTTTGACCCCCTGGATATCATCGATCAGCGGGCCCTCCAAAACAGCCTGCGACACAGACTCAGCACGCTGGCCGAGAGATCCAAGATCGCCAAGCCCGCTCAACGACGAGGCGCACGGCACGTCCAAGCCGAAGCGTCTCGCAGCTCGCCCGGGTCGAGCCGGAGCAACACCACGACGCCCGAGAAAGGCCGCACGAGCCCCGAGAAGGCTCGACCGGACCCCGAAACGCCCACCCGCGGCCCCTCGAGACGCGCCCCGGCGCAGCAGCCGCCCATGTGCAGCGAGCAATCCCGCGAGAACCTGCCGGCGGCCGGCGAGGGTTGGCTCAGCGAGAGCGAGAAGCGTCGGCGCGCCGTCGACGAGGTGCTCTACCGCGAGCAGGCGCCCGCGCCGCGTATCGTGGCTGGGACGGCACGCCCCATGGCTGCCGCGGAGATGAGCATGATGCGGCGCGCCGTGATGCAGGTTGACGCCGATCGCGAGCGCATGATGCAGTGGAAGGACACGCGGGAGACCAAGCAGATCCGACCTTCGCTCGACGCCCTGACCAAGCTGGCGGTCGACCGCGAGGAGGAGCGAAATATCGAAATGGAGGAGGGGAGGAGAGCGGAAGTATGGCTGGCGGAACAGGTGGAGAAGGCAAAGGCCAACTTGGCCAAGGGACCCGAGATACCGGCGAACCCGCCCACGAGTGAACCCGCCGTCCCGGTGCCGTTTATGTCTCGTCCCATCGTGGACGGCCCGAGGCTCTCCCCCTCGGATGCGCCCGCGCAGGAGAGGCTCGCGCTGCAGAGGCTTGCGCAGGGAAGTCTGGCGGCGACGAAGCTCGAGCAGGAGACGGAAGAATACCAGCGGCTCTGCGTGGTCCTCAACGGCAGCATCCCACAGCTGGGAGCCCCCTTCACCTTTGCCAGCAAGGAAGAGCGCGCCCGCGAGAAGGCCAACCTCACTGCCAGGCTCGAGGAAGAGACCGCAGTCAGGACACAGGGTCCCGCCAAGGATGCAAAGACCACGCAACATGATCCGGCGCGGGCAGCGGCACGGCGGGCTCTCGAGAAGAGGGCCGCGGCTGAGATTTCCGACTTCGAGGCTAGAGGCCTCAGGGGACAGCTGCAGCCGCAGGAGATGATCCCCGTGCTCCGTGAGCGGTTCCGCCGAGAGAGCCTCAGACGCACACCACAGTACAATATAGGCCTTCACGGTCACATGGAACGGGCATTGTCACGGGTGAATCTCGCCGACTATAGGCCGAGGGTTAGCACCTACGTGCACAATGAGGAAGAGGAAGACATTTACGGCCCGTCGTAGGATGTCGGTCTGTGACGAATCGATCGATGGAGTGAGGGCTGGCAACACAGAGTTTCATGATTGTAAGACGTCAAATCCCGGAGGACCGCCGGATATCAAGAGGACGGAGATGAGCCCGCTGTGAGCGCGACTGGCAAGGAAACCGGGAGTGTGAAAATATTATTTATAACTGAAGGCAATTTTAAGGGGGTTTTCTTTTTTTTTCAGATCGCTTTACGAATGTAGCAGGTCCATTGATATTTTTTAGCTTCGTACCTCTCTAGTCAAGTTTATCAACATGAATCCAAGTCGAAAATGGTCCACACACCGATGTTTACAACCAACAAGCTTGCGTTCGCAAGACTCATGAGAAACTGTATGTAGGTGCGAACAATCATGGTCAAACACAAACATCACGTTGTAGAAACACCATCAAAATCATGACGGCGAGCGAAAACCTTTCGTGTCGGTGTTTTTCATCTGAAAACAAACATCACGTTGCAGAGACATCATCATAACCATGACCGCGAGAGCAGCCTCATCCAAATCTCTATCCGAGCAAACCAGTTTTTCAACTCCGTCTCGATGCTCCAGTCTCCATCTCTGTCCCATGCCGTCCCTGTTGCCGTCTACGCGTCTAGAGTCTATGCCAACCCCTCCGCCAGCCTCTCGAGCACCTTCCACCCCTCACTCCCCTCCCACGCCGTCTTGGCCTTGCCCATGACGCTCCGCACCGCGCTCCTCGCCTTGCCCCTCCACCGCTCGCCCACGCCCTCCGCCAAGGCGCCATAGTTCTCCAGCACGCCGACGAGCTCGTCCGTGCGCGCCACGACCTCGCCCCAGGCCTCGTCGTCCTCGAGCCAGCTCTTCGTCGTGCCCCCGTCGCTGGCGCCCAGCGCCGAGGCGCTCCCCATGGCCGTCCTCCAGCCCTTCTCCGCGGCGTCGACGGCGCCCTTGTAATCGCGCCGCCACGCCCGCACGCGCGCCACAATCTCCCACAGCTCCGAACGCGTCGTGATCAGCGGCACGACGGCATCCTCGAGGAAGAAGGCGACGCCCGCGCCAGGGTGCCGCGCGGAGGCTCGTAGACGCCGGCCCGTGCCACTGCTGCCGCTGCCGTCGCTGTCCTGCTTGGGCTGCGCGATGAGCGCGTCCTGGACGAGGGCGCGCAGGACGGCCGCGTCGAGGGCCGTCTCGGAGGCGCGGATGCGCACGAGGGCGCGCAGCGCGTGCAGCACGTCGGTGTAGGCGGGCGGGTGCGAGCGCGTCGCGAGCGTGAGGACGTTGTCCCAGATGCGCCAGTTGTCCTGCGACAGCGTCGCGCCGCGCTTGTAGGCGGCAAGGGACTGCGCGAGGATGACCTCGGGGTCCTGTTGCGTCTTCTTGCTCTCCTTTGTCGCGGCCGTCGCGTCGCCTTCTTCGTCGTCGGCGAGGACGGCAGCGGGTGCGTCCTCGAGCTTGGCGTCCTTGAGCTCGGCGCGCAGGTCGTCAATCACCTGCAGGTACTGGGACCACAGCGCCGAGCCGAGGTTGCTCCAGGTGCGGGCGTCCTCGCCGCCAATGGGGTCGCCTGCCGCAGCAATGGCGCGGCGGTAGGCTTCGGCGGCGTCGCCGGGGCGGCCGAGGCGGAGGTCAATGTCGCCGAGGCGGGACCAGAGCTCGGGGCTCAGGCGGTTGCTGCCGACGGCCAGTGCGTAGGCTTCGCGGGCGGCGGGCAGGTCCTTCTTCGCGAGGTGGTACTCGCCGAGTGACTTTTGGGCGCGGGCGAAGCGGTGGTTCGAAATCTCCCAGGCGCGCAGGTAGTGGCTCGGGTCCTGCTCGAGGTCGCCGAGGATGCAGAACAGGCGCGGCGCGTTGGGCACGGCAGGGCTGCGCTTCGGGGCCGGAGAAAGTGCGCCGGCGTCAGATGGATCACGTCATCAGGGAAGGTCTTTCGGCGTCTGGTCGACGGGCGACGTGGTGGCCGGCCGCGTGAAAGAGGCGCCAGCCCATGATGCCCTTTGGCC